TGAGACGCCTTTCCCAAGCGCAAGTGGACTCGCGCGCGCACAAACACACACACACACACACACACACACACACACACTTCTATTTGGCTTATTTCCTCCTGCTGCTTAAGCAGCAAATTGCCTAGGGCAGAACTACTGGAAGCCAATAATTTGATGTCTCTACTTGGTATCATATAATCTCCTGGAGATTATAAACTACAACTGTCCCATTTTACAAAGAAAGAAACTGGTGACCTGATTTAGCCAGAGCAGTAAGCAAACTACAGAAGGAGCCACACTCTTCTGAGACCAGTGGATGTTCCTCCTGCCCTACTTCCTTTTGACCCTCCCCAGAATAAAGCCCCTCCAGTAAGGAAAGAACACATAGCCCTTTGCTGGAGCCCGTGGGACAGAAGTCATTTGTAGGTGCACAATTTAGCACCCCCTCTCCCCCACAGCTCGTGAGAAGAGACAGAGAAATCTATTCATTAACAAAAGAACACAAAACCCATCAGCACAGTCAAAAAGCAAAGCCACCCAGCAAAAGATGCCACGTTGGCTGTGGGAAGAACATTCACAGCAATTCCTAAAGAGAAAGCCAACCCTCTGTCACTGCTCTCCATCGCTCATTCCCCAAATTCATCCAAGAGTGAAGCGATGCCTGTACTGGACGGCCTAGTCCTAGATGGGCATGGCAAAAACAGGCTGGAAAACTCCAGACAGAAAATGATGCCAGAATCTTTTTTTTTTTTAATTTCATCATTTCATTCTTGATTCCAAAGATAAACTACAAGTATAACTATTTTCTACTGGGGCTAAATTTAAGGAAGATGTTTATGTTCAACAAGAATGGCTTCTCCATTTGATTCTTCTAAATAGCTGCAAGTCATCGACATACAAAGTTATCAAGAACACATCAATATGTCCCCATTTCACATAAACCCACCAAAGCAAACACCATGACTCAGGGACCTGTGTGCGACTGTGCAGCTGCTTTGTTTGTTTTTCAAGGAGTGCCAGGCCCCTGACCTACTTGAGTAGCTCAAGCCATAAATTTTGTTTTAGGATGAGGTGAGAACCTGATTTTATGATTGTGATTAGATTGAAAGCTTCGGGGAGGTGGGGACGCCCTACTACCCTTCATATTACCAGCACCTGGGAATCAGTGCCCCACAGGCAGCTCAGACAATCTTGAAGACTGGAATAACGCATATACCCAACTCCCAAGTCTGTTAACGCCTCTTAATAGCTCTCAAGTTCTTTTAGACACTTTTGCCTTAAATATCAATTGTCTTCAGAAATTATTTGCTGACTCCTTAATCCTTCAAAAGAAATTATTCTTGGGCCTCCCCGGTGGCGCAGCGGTTGAACGCTGGGTTCCGAAGCTGCCCGCAGCCTCTGCAGCGCCGGTTCGATCCCCGGCTGCTCCCCAGCCACCGGAGGAGGGTCCCACATGGTGCGCAGACCTCTCCTGCCGCCCGCTGCTCCCCTCAGCAGCGTACTTCGGTCCTTTTGCCTGTTCTGCTCCCCACTCTGGCTCTGGTGAATTCTCTCACCCTCCCGCGCTTCTGACTGTACCCAGTGCTTGTATAAACAAAACAAACAAACAAATAAATAAATAAATAAAGCATGCCTCTATTTTAAAAAAAAAAAAAAAAGAAATTATTCATGTTCTCAAACCGTCCCCCATTCTTTCTTTAAATGAGGAGCAGGTACCCTAAACAGGAAATGACACTGCATCTGAGAGAACTACAGCAGCATTGAAACGTGAGCACTGGAGTTACAGCACACTCTAAAGGAGGGCTTCTCAACCCGAGCACTAGTGACATTTTGGCCAGACAAGTCTTTGTTGTGGAGGGCCGTCCTGTGCACTGCAGGATGTCGAGCAGCATACCCCACTTCTACCCACCAGATGCCAGCAGCACCCGCTCTCAGGTATGAACCAAAATGCCTACAGATGTTGTCAAATGTCTGTGAGCTCAGGCCTGCCTTGAATCCTGGCTCTGCAGCCCTAGCCAGGCCTAACCCTCGCCCTCCAGAGTCATTATCTGTACAATGGCACTAATATGGCAGAAATGCTGCGAGAATGCAATGAATGATGTATATAGTGGATTTCCCTGCTCAGAACATCCGATGCCAAAGTGACTGCGCAAGAAATGAGGGAAATTAAAAGCCAACTGCTAGAACCAAAGGAATTTATCTTTAGGTCTCCAAGTACTGTGATCTAGATGGAAGATGTGGCTGACAGAGAAACGAATGAAAGGAGAAGAGAGGTTGGGTACGAGGAAATAATACTAAAGTATTTCCCTAGTCACCAAAAACCCTGCTTGGAGTCAGGGCCAAATTTGTGCTACTGAGTAGACTGAGGCTACTGTAACCTCCCAAATAGTAAACCCAAACGATGCCAAACCACAAAACTCTCCCAAATAAATAAGTGACCAGGTCAGCAAGAGGAATTCACCACAGTGTCGATACAAAAACACCAGAAAGTGGTGAAAAGGCCAGACTGTCTCTGGCTTAGATTTAGGAACCTAAATAGGATATGGAGAGTTCTAGACAACAGTGAGGACGAATTCAACATAAGCTTCTAGAAGAGACCAAAACAGTCTTCTCTAAAGTCCCTGCATAAATCATTCTGGGTTTCCTTCATATCTGCAGTTGTGCTGCACTGCACGGTTAGGATTAAGGTAACTTTGGAATTTTCCATTACAACGGTGCCAGCGACAGAAAGACAAGCCCCTTTAAAAATAAAAGATCTGAAAAAGCAATAAAATGCTATTGATTTTATCCGGCTGGGCAAATCCTTTAAAAAGATCGCGATCACGTGACAACTTGGAACCTCGCAGAAAAGTCATTCCTCCGAAGAGCCACGGTCACGGGACATGTCATCACTTACAAAGAAAACCCAGCCCAGGCCAACATGTAATACCTCCCGCACGCTCAGGTCCGTCCTCCGCGTTCTCGTCTTGCCATTTCACACCCTAAGTTGGAAGGAAGCGAGGACCGATTGTGGAACCTCGGCCCGCGCGGGGGTCGGATCAGCCCTGGCGGCGGCCGGCCCGGGACGGGCCGCGCGCTCCCAAGTCCTCGGCCGAGCGGCCACTAGGACGCGGCCCGCGCCGGGAGCGCGCCAGCCCCTCGTCTTTCTCGGCATTCATCGCTCGGGGGTGGGGGGGGGCGGCTCTGGCTTGGGGCGCGGGTGCGAGTCCCCGCGCCGCCCAGCGTTCGCTGCGTGCGTGCCTCCCCGGCGCTCGGGGGCGACCGTGCGTGTGCGTGGAGGGCGCTCTCCCCGGGGGGTGTGCGCGTGTGGCCCGGCCGTCCGGGCGTTGCTCTGCGCGTCCCCGCGCGTGTGGGTGCCTGTTCCTCCCCTCGGCGCGCGCCGGCGGGACCCCGTCTTTCCTCCTGCGTCAGTCAGCAGCACACGGGGAACCCCCGGGCCACCTCCTTCCCGGGCGAGCGAGAGAGCCGCGCCGGCTCCGCGCGCCCCCCGCCGCCCCCTCGGGCCTGAGGCCCAGGCGCCCGCGGGTCCCCTCAGCCCCCCGTGCGCGCGCCCCGAGACGGCCCGAGGGCAGCCCGCGCCCCGCTCACCTCGCGGCCACACGGACGACGCCCGGGAGCTGCGGCCCGGCGCGACCGGCTGCAAGGAGCAAAGCGAGAGGCTCAGGGGCCCCTCGGGCAGAGGCGGCGGCAGCGCGAGGCTCGGGTCCGACTGCACTTGCTCGGGGGCCGGCTCCGAGCGGGCAACATGGCGACGGGCCGGGACGGACCCGGGAGGCGGGGCGGGGGCGGGGCCCGGGCGGGGCCTGGAGGCCGCGGTCCGGCCCGGGGGTCCCGGCGGCCACGCGGTTTTCCTCCGGTGGGAGCTTCCCGGCTGCCCCGGCCGCGTTCTCGCGCGAGACAGCACGAAATGCGGCCTCTTCCCAAGTGCACGCAGCGTGGAAAGCAACGAGTGGCTTGGGCACCACCCCGCGACGTGCTGATCACGATGGGAAAACGAATGTGCAAGGAGACAAAGAACAAACGGGTGGAGAAAAATAAAAACATCTGGGAGACTGTCAGGGAAATGGTCATGGTTGAACGTTGTTTCCTTTACGTCCTTTATGTAGTGCAAACACTGCCTCTGTCATCCCGAAATAGAAAGCAGCCGAGGGGCAGGGCGGTCCTGGGGAGCCCTTCTTCACGCCTCACTTGAAACAGGGAACTGAGCTCCTGGGTCTTAGGATACAGGGGCTTGGAGACCACAGGGACTTTTAGTGACTTTTCCATACGTATTGTGCAATAAATTTAGTTGGATTTTATTTTTCCAAGAGAAGGATGACACTTTCAAGGTTTCCTGGATCCACAATCATTCATTTTTAGGGAGTCACTTTCAGGTAATGTCTCAGACATGGTCTTTTCATTCAGCACCAGAAAGGTGATATTTGAGAGAGTTTCTCACAAGCATAAAAGACAACTTTAGAAGACTAAGATGTGTGAAAGCGAGGCATGTAAAAAAGACTGAGTTCTAGTTTGAGTTTAGATGGAATTTTCTTTTACAGAAGGAAATCTACTTTTTATCCATGAAGGATTTTTTTAAAAAGATTTATTTCATTTACACATACAAGAACTGGGGTACAGGCCAGAGGTGTGGGGGGGAGAGGACTCACCAGAGCCAGAGCGGGGAACAGAACAGGCAGACTGACGAAATACACTGCTGAGGGGAGCAGCGGGGAGACAGGAGAGGTCTGCTGTGCCATGTGGGTAGCTCCCTGGCCAGGGAATCAAACTCATGCTGCAGTGGCTGCCGATAGCTCATGAACGATATTTCTCATAGGAAATATGACTAGACGTTTAATAAAAACACAGACCTGCTCAAACGGGGAACAGCTACTCCGTACCTTATTTTAAAACACATGATAATGATAGATACATAATCTATTGGCAAATCAGTAAAACTATAAACAAACATAATAATTGAAACTATATAGCAAAATATCTGAGAATATTAGAATTAATTTTCCAAAAGAAAAAGTATCACATACCTTGAACTATAACAAGCAATCCACAGAGTTACTAACAAAAGGAGAACTGCAAATTGTATGTGGTAATCATAGCACTCTTATGGAATTATTGTTGCTTAAAGTAAGCCTCGAGAAGTCCAAGAGTTTTCAAGAAAATGATTCTAGGACGGTCCGTCCTACAAGTGATTCTTAGGCTGTTGGAAAATTTAAGTGAGCCATACAACATACGGGAGTGTAGCTTCCAGTCAGCACCTGAAAACAAGAAGGAAAGTTACTTTTTCTGAAATTACTATTTCTTGGACACTAGCCAACTGACAGTTAAAGATACTAGCACATTCTGGTATCTTCCACCATTCACTTCTTTACCTAGTTGGTTTGATGAGTAGACTGGGTCAAAAGACTTTTCCCTGAGGAGTAAATTTACATTTGGTTCTTGGGTGTGTGTCGTTGGCAAGCTGATAAAAATTGGATAAATGTTTTCTCTCGCTTGCTCCATGAACACGGTTACTGACCAAAACAAAACAAAACAAAACAAAAAAAAAAAAACAAACAACAAACAAAAAAAAACCCCAAAACCAAAAAACCTCTAAGAACTGATACAGTTTGACTCCTAGTCCCCTGACTAGGATTTTCTTTATATTTTGTAAACACCTAACGTATCACTCCTGGAGGAAAAAGAGGTTGATGCGCATCAACGACTGCTTCCCTTAAATGACACCTACTTATTACTATGAGCACTAGGAGTTAATCCTCCATTTCAAGCTGGGATTTGAAAGAAATCACATCTGGTGTCTCTGATAAAAAGCTACAAGTAAGTGGGCTCCAGATTCAGGTATAATAAACACTGATTGTAATTTAATTAGTTGTACTTTTCACATACAAGGAAAAACACAAGACTCAATGGCAGGCAATTTTCACCATTAAATGTCATATCCAAATGATCAGAAATTTGATATTTTCCTTAAGTCGGAGGCCAAAATAAGAGATCTGTTCTCAATATTGCGTAGACGTTCCAGATAGTTCTACTAAGAGGGGAGAAAAACATAAAAAGTAATTCAAGATTGATTATGTTTGATTCCAAAGCCAGAGTGAAAATAGGTAACAATGTTCAGTGAAAAACAATGTTAGCCAAATAGTATATGGAGGAAAATCCCAATTTGGTGGAGGAAACATTTTTTATAATATGTAACTATATAACTTTTATGTAACTATTATGTGAAAAGGGCCAACTAAACTGACTCCATCTTGGGCCCTAACCTCCATCTTACTGAACTTCAACCTTTAAGAAACCAGTTTCCAGCGAGACATGGCTTTCTCTGAGAACTATGCAAAGACAGGTTTTTTTCTTCTCCATAGTAACCAAGACCAGCTTGACTAAAAGTCAACAAACGTTAAGGAATATAATCCATAACCAATCCAACTTCTTGGTAAACAGCTTTTGCAATGCTGTCCTTTCTCCCCCCTCTTTTGTCTTTTAACAAACCCTTAAAGACTCCAGCAAGGGACAATTTGGAGTGGTATCTAAAATTAGTCTCCTTAACCAGCAAATCCAAGACCCCAAATAAATGCTATTGTTTCATTATAACTAGTTTTGGTTTTCTCCAAACACATTTCAAATAGTTATCTAATTTATTTATGTCTATGTATGTGTGTGTATATATAATAAATATATATTTATATATCATATATTTTATATTTATATATCATATACACGCTCTGAACATTTCAAACCAATGCCCCAATCTCCCAGTTTACCTGGAAACTGAATTGTGCATGTTTCTTACTCATGCAGATTTTTTCCTTCCTGATCCTTAAGTCAGATGAAATGTTAACCTGAGAAGAACTTGCAGAAATCTGATTTCTTCACTGCTTAGCGTGGAAAGGAGTCCTGGAGCCACAAATGAATAGTAGATCAGCCTTAATCTGAGTATTGTCAGTGAGCAAATTCCAGAATCGACAGTCCTCTAGTTGTTGTGATCAAATGGAAAGTCTCACCCACAACCATGAAGGCTCAGAGTCTTACATGGGTGTCTGGGATTCTGTGCAGTGGTTCATGTTGCGTGGCAGCCTGGGAGTCACATGCCACCCACATGCTTCCTTCCATAGGCCTGCCTGCTGTCAGAAGAGAGGGGCCGTGGAAATTAGAAGCCAACACAACTGACACCTCCCAAATCTGTGGATGACCACCACACCCACCCAAACCCTTCCAAAGCCGGCATCGTAGACATACCCTCTCCTCCTGGGTGGTTTTAAATGTGTGGGAAAGGCAGAGCCACTTCACACCAATACTTTTATCCAGTGAATCTAGAGAGTGCCCATAGTGCCAGGTATGGACCAGAGGTAGATGTAATGAGGAGGAATTCAGGGGTGTCTCCAGGCATCACCCCTCCCTTCCCACATAGCCCCCATCTGCTAGCTATGTTTCTATCACATCACCTTATTTTGGTGAATATGTTCGATTTGGTCCTTTTCCTAAGAGAACTCAGAAGAGCAGAGGAAACAGTCAAAAAGCAACTAACCAAATATGCAGTTACAAAATGGATGAAAAGCCTTGCGGGAGCTAATAAGCAAGGTGCAGTGAGCAGATGGGATTACAGGGTGCAGGCACCAGAGGAAAGAGCATGTCACCAAGAACCTGGCCCAGAGCAGCACTCAGTACATCTTTCCAAATAAAGGAAAGGTGCGAACAATTACTAACTCTTCATAATTGATGGAAAAACTGAAATTATAATAGTTCTCTAGCCGTAACTAGAGCTAATGTATTTCTTAAAAAACAATATGTGTGCACTCTAAGCACAGCTTACAGATGGCAGTATGGAACAGCCATTAAAATTCAGGAATGGAGTGGGAAATGTGATCCTTTGCTGACTTCCCAGTGAATGCCAGCCATAGCCTGAAGTTCACTTTTAAAGGCAGTGGAAGGAAGACCTCAGACATGCCAGGGTTACAATGATTTTTTTTAAGATTTATTTATTTATTTATACAAGCACTGGATACAGTCAGAAGCACTGGAGGGTGAGAGAATTCACCAGAGCCAGAGCGGGGAACAGAACAGGCAGACTGATGAAAATACACTGCTGAAGGGAGCAGCGGGCATGGCAGGAGAGGTCTGCACGCCATGTGGGACCCCCACCAGCGGCTGGGGATCGAACCAGCGCTGCAGATGCTGCAGGTAGCCTTGCAGAGCAGCGCTCAACCACTGTGCCACCAGGGAAAGCCCGGTTACAGTGATGTTAACAGTATATTCGTGTGTATTGGTGTGAGTATGTGTGCATGTACATGTTTAATTTCTTATTTTTATTTTTTCAAAGATTTTATTTATTTATGCATACAAGAACTGGGATATAGGCCAGAGATGCGGGAGGGTGAGAGGATTCACCAGAAACAGAGTGGGGAGCAGAACAGGCAGATCTACTGAAATACACTGCTGAGGGGAACAGCAGATGAGACAGGAGAGGTCTGCTGAGCCATTTGGGTAGCTCCCTGGCAGGGGATGGAACTCATGCTGCAGAAGCTGAGGACAGCTTCAAAGATTGCGTCTCAACCCCTTGTGCCACCAGGGAGGCCCCATGTTTATTTTTTTTTTTAATGAAAAACAACAGTAAAATCAAAACATTTGGATTTTTTTTTTAATTTTTTAAAAGATTTATTTATTTATTTATACAAGCACTGGGTACAGTCAGAAGCGCGGGAGGGTGAGAGAATTCACCGGAGCCAGAGCGGGGAGCAGGGCAGGCAGAAGGACCAAAGTACACTGCTGAGGGGAGCAGCCGGCGGCAGGAGAGGTCTGCGCGCCATGTGGGACCCTCCTCCAGTGGCCAGGGAGCAGCTGGGGAGCGAACCAGCGCTGCAGAGGCTGCAGGCAGTTTCACAACCCAGCGCTCAACCGCTGCGCCACCAGGGAGGCCTAACATTTGGATTTTTAAGGCAGTCTGATTCCAAGTAATTTTTTTCACTGAATTTTTAAATTATATGTTATAAGATTCTTTTGAGCAATATGTGGACATTTCTTAATGAAGCAATTTTAAGCAACCTTTAGAAATACTCCTCCAGAACTCAGGACAGTGATGCTGAGGCGCTGCCCCTCTTCCCTGCCTGCTGCCAGGCATCTCAGTAGCCAGTGCCACTAGCAACTTTCTGGACCTTTTGGTTAAGAACTGAGACCAGGGCCTCCCCCATGGCGCAGTGGGTTGAGCACCGCTCTGTGAAGCTGTCCGCAGCCTCTGCAGTGCGGGTTCGATCCCGACCAGCCAGGGAGCTACTCATATGGCACAGCAGACCCCTCCTGTCTCGCCCGCTGCTCCCCTCAGCACTGTATTTCAGTCTGTCTGCCTGTTCTGTTCCCCAGTCTGTCTCTGGTGAATCCTCTCACCGTCCCGTGCCTCTGGCCTGTACCCCAGCTCTTGTATAAATAAATAAAATCTTTAAAAAAAGAAGAGTTGAGAGCACTATGGGCCTCACATTAACCAACTTTGGTCCCTTGGTCGTCTGCTTCCACCACCACCATGTACACAAACGTAAATAATCCAAGGAACTGTGGCTCCCAGTCACCTTTGTAGCCAGACCCTCAACCCAACCCCTGACTGGAGTAAAGTGGGAAATCCCTCACCCACCTGCCCGACAGAGGGCTGGGGTACTTCTCAGTGGCATAAGACATTATCTGGACCACTTATATGTTATTTATACACAATGTCCAGCATGCAACAAAAAATATTAGACAGGAGAAGAGGCAGCAAAAAGTGACCCCTAATCAGGAGAAAACGAAACAATAGAGTTTAAAGGCATGACATGCTGGAAGTATTTCAGGAATGCAAGGGTAGTTTAATATTAACTGTTAAGGGGGAAAAACAATCAGCTCAACAGATGAAGAAAAAAATGCATTCAATAAAACTCAACACCCATCTGTGATAAATAATCTCTTAGCAAACCAGGAATAGAAGGGAATTTCCTTAACCTCCTAAAGAATAACTTCTGAAAACCTATGCCAAACATCATTCTTAATGGTTAGAATCTCTAAGTATATCCTTTAAAACAGGGCAAAAGTAAGTAGGTCTGTTGCAACCACTCTCCAACATTGTCCTGAGTGTTCTAGAACACAGCGGCAGAAAAATTGCTAAGAGGATGAAAAGGGAGAAATTGCCTCCACTGAACACAATCTGGTTAGAAAAACACAAGGCCTCTATAGAACACCAACCATTCAAAGAGTTTAGTGAGGTGATTGCTATAGACTGAATGTTTATGTCCCCCCAAAATTCATATGTTGAACCCCCAGCCCCAGTGAGATATTCACAAGAGGGAATATGGTGTGATGAGATCGCGAGGGTGGGGCCTTCATGATGGGCGTCGCGCCCTTATAAAAGAGACCTAGCAGAGCTCCCTCACCCATGCCACTCTGTGAGGCACAGCAAAAAGAGAACCATTTATGAATCTGGAAAGAGACTCTCACCAGATACTGAGAATGTGCTACAGCCTTGATCTCAGACTCCCAGCCTTTAGCACAGTGAGAAATAAATTTCTGTTGTTTTTAAGCTCCCCTGTCTATGGTATTTTGTTGGAACAGCCAGAATGAACTAAGTGTCTAGGTAAGAACATGGGTAACAAAAAGTCTATTGATACAACCAACAAACACAGGAAACCTAAGTAACAAAATAATCGATTTCAATGACAATATTATAAAATACTTAGCAATAAAATCTAACACCGAAAAATGTGAAGACCTTCATGGAGAAAATCAGGTGTGGCGCCTGTCTAAAATAGGAGCCACTAGTTGTATGTGGCTATTTAAATGAAAATGTAAATAAATTAAACAGCGTCCAGGATTCAGTTCCTTCATATCAGCCTCATCTCCAGTGCTCAATAGCCACATGGGGCTAGTGCCTGCCCCACTGGAGTACAGATATAGACGATTTCCATCATTACAGAAAATTCCATGAACTGCACTAGACTAGAATATGCCCATTCATCTCATAAATTTTCAATTAGAACACGATCATTTACGCTACACTGCTTATGCCATATCCCCATAAAGGGAAGCATGACTTAGTAAGAAACACAGATTAGGAGTTGCAACATTTTCTTATCTTCTAAGAGTTTCAGGGGTTATTTATCTCTTTGGTGGGGTGGGGGGGTGGGAAGGATAAGGGATTTGCCAAGCATCTGAAGACCCTTTTGATTTTTAGGGAGCCAACTATTTTGTGAGTCTTCGTTATAAAAGTCCTAAAGATCAGATACTTAGAGACTTGCTCTTCCAGAGTCCTGGTGACAAGGAATACCAGCACGAGAGCCAAGATTGGCGAATCGGACACGCCCTTTGAAGACCTGTATCTTGAGCAAGCCACGCAGAGAAGCTGGAACAGCTCAGAGTTCTCTCTGGCATGGAGAGTGGTGCCAGCGGCCAGGATACCAGCGGCAGTGCCCAGGACCCAGGAGTATCAGCGCCTTAACCAGGCTATTCATGTTTTGGGTTTCTGTTGCTTCTGCTCACTGTGCCAACTCAATACTGCAGCTGTGCCTCTCTAAGAGTTATGCAAGCTCTCCCCTTTTCTTTATCAGAAGGAGTTGATGTCTTTAGTTGCAGCTACAAACTCTGAATGACACATAGTTAGAAGGTATCCAGTGCAAGCTAGTTAGAATGCATCTAGTACAGGCTTACTGTGATTCATAATATAAATGCAGGTAAATGGAATTATGACTCTCAAGGCTTTTATATCAACTAAACCATGCTGTGGTATAAAGACAACGAGCCCCCAAATCTCAGCAGCATATAAAAACAAAGACTTATTCCTCACCATAATGCCTATCACGGGTCAGCTGAGGTTCTGTCCCATGTCATCCTCCTTCTGGACCCAAGCTG